AAAAAAAAAAAAAAAAGTAATGTTTTTTTTTGCCGATTTGAACTTGGACGAAGAGGATGTTGCCATTAAGTGTTATTATTGCCGTTTTGAACTACGGCCGGGACGGACCTGCGGACGACTGTTTTTTTTTCCCATTCAAAACGTGGGTTGTGACCCACGAGACGTTGCCCCTTTTTCTTGTCTGCTCCATGTCTTTTCCTCCCTATCTTCTCTCTCTCCCCCTATGAACGATTATGGAATCTGGATGCTTGTCGATCTATTGTACACGAGGAATGAGATGGTTGTTTTGGCTGACGCTTAATTAGTCACGGAGATTTGAATGATGTGTGGCTGCCATTTTCGCACCTTCCTTGATGAATGTCTGTGGGAGACGAATGGGAATGCTTGGATAATGAGACGATTGGCCGGTGGACTTGTCTCCGACTAGATCGCGGGATCATTGTGATTGACATGTGGGATGCATGCTAGATAGGATTTTGCTATTGCCATGTGGACGGATTGCCCCAAGCTGACTAGGCGACGGCCTCTCGCATTCCCACCACGCCCCTTCCCGAATACCGAGAAGAGGACACGTGTATGCGAATGGGATGTACGAGAACCCGTCGCCAAGATCGGCGAAAGATACTACTTCCCTCCTGCAACTCGATGCTCTGGATTTGTCGGTGCTGGTTTTGTTATTGTAGACACACACTTTCCGCCTTATTCTTTGCTATTGCCGTTCAATGAGCTAATAGTCATCCCCTGGTCGGCAGTAGCGCCCCATTGGCCTAATACTCTGTGCAGCGATTGTCGCCGCTTCGAGCATTACCAATTGAAGGGCTTTCACTACCGAGTACGAGATGAAGATGAGCATATGAAAGAGCCACTCGGTTAAGGCCTTCCACGTCAGATTCAGAGTTGTGTAATGAGCGGCGGCGGGACTTGACCCGGAAACGGGATACCAAGTACGTGCCCGCCCCCTTCCATGCGAAACGAAAAGCGACGGCTCGATGGGAAGTTCAACGATACTTTTTGGATTGAATTTCCTCGCACCGTGAGTCCCGCGCGCGCCTTCTTCTCCCTCAAACCCGTGCAGTAAGAGACCCTCCCCCTTCTTCCCCCCCTTCTCTTTCTTACTAAAGTCGGACCGGCACAGGGGATTTCGGTTCTGTCCGTGTCCCCGCAGTCAATTTCCCAAAAATCCTTGGCACACCCCATCGTGCTGTCTTTCCGGGGCCCCATTCCGCAATTTTAAACTCCGAACGGAAAACAGCACAGGGCGTGAGGTTGAGCGTCACAGGTGTTCTATGGTGTTGATGGTAGAGAGATGGGGATCCTCCGTTCCCTCGTACATCCCTGGAGCCCATTCCGGCCCTGCGGTAAGGACTGCTATGCCAGCCTCAACTCGAAGATACGTGCTAGGAGGATAGCCCACCCTCAATCCAGAATCGTGGACTGTATGTATTGAACCTGGATGATCTATTAGCCCTGTGTTGTATGGTAATCTGAGAGCAGACAATCCTTTGTTCCCTCGTATGTCCCTGGAGCCCATTCAGGCCCTGCGGTAAAGTGCAGTACCTCCTGACACTCCCAACATCCCCTAGAATAACTAAGGACCTGCTATGCCAGCCTCAATAAGTTATCCCGTAGAATAACTAAGGACCTGCTATGCCAGCCTCAATAAGTTGACCACGTACTAAGCGGATGACCAGCCCTAACCCCTAAGATACAGTCTGGTATCGAACACAGGACCTTATGTGAATCGTGCAAGTGACTTAATCTATTGACCTACACTGTGAAATAGTCTATACCTGTGCTCTGCTGGCCTCAAGTAAACTGGACTATGCAAACCACCCAGCGCTCTCATGACAACCCGGTCTACCAAGAACATCAGGATACCCACCATCACCCAGTCCCCACATACAACAACCATGGACTACTCCTTGGGTGGTGCGCAGGCAGTGTCTGTAATAGCTTACCTGCGTCAGCCGTGCGTCATTCTAAAACCCTGTCGGTGTCCATGCGAGGTTGCGGAGTCTTGAACCTGCAACCTCATATCACAACCGGTGCTCTAACCACTGAGCTGTATCAACTGGACTGCAGGTTTATTTTTTTCTTACTAAGGCTAAGTAGACCAACGAGGGATCTGGAGGAGGCAGCTCATAGCTACGTGATCTAGCCGATTCGGGCCCCAGGTTGGACCCAGGGTTTGTCCCAGGCCTTGGCCACCATAACAGGCCGGGTCCCTCGACAGATTTGCGGCGCACACGTTGTGCCTGTGCTAGTGCATTTGGTGTGTTGTCAAGGGTGATGGTCGGGCAGGGAACAACCTAGAGTGAAGAACCAAAAAAAGCAACAACAGCAAACGAGGGGGGGGGAAGAAAATAAAACAGAAGGAATAAAAAAGGAACAAAGCGAGAAGGCAAGAACGGCGCGCAAGAGAAGGCGGTAAGGGCGAAGTGGAGAGAGAGAGAGAGAGAGAGAGAGAGAGAGAGA